GTGATGGGGAGGGGTTATTGTCTTCTCCTCCAAACATTTCCCTCACCTCCATACACTCATCCTCTTGCACTTGTTCCCTTTTAGGGATGCTGTCTGCTTTCAAGAGTGTTCCCTTCTTTTCCTTCCCTTTCCCCAGGATGTAAGAAATACAGAATACACATAATGTTTTGTATTTGAGCAGCTGGGAAAAATACTGTCGGTAGAACACATCTGAAAACTTAATGACTTAGCATGCGCTTGAATAGTACAAGCTGCTTTGATTTAGACTGCAGTTTGCTGCTTTTCCTTCAAGGATTATTGAGGAGTTTTTAGTCGCTGCAGTGATTGTCCTCTGCTGCCTGATAATTTCCTAGTGTTTGAGATTGCATAGAGGTTTCCAGCTTTTGAAATGAAAATGTCTTTAGAAGTCAAGAATAAGAAATACTTTTAGCTTGTCATTTTAAATTCTCTTCCACATTTTTTAGCCTCAAAGGTTTTTTAACATGCCCTTATAAACATCAGGTAGTGAATGTAAGCCTTAGAGGTACAGCAAACGATTAAGCTTTCTCCTGCCTTGCATTGAAGACAGACTTTGTTAAGGCTTTTCATTTTTAGGAGCAATCTTAGTACAGACAAACTTTTTACAGTTGTTTTGCATTTATAGTCCCCATTCTTATCAATATTAATGACTGGAATTTTCTTTTTAAGTTACTGTTAAGGTCCTGGCTTGAATGATTAAACTGAGACTATGCAATAAGTTACTAAAAGTCAGGAAATAACATCTAATAAGGTTACGGCACATTTAAGCTTTAAAAATCGTATTTTTATAGGCTATTATGAAAATAATTAAACTTGTTCTGTTTAGTAAGAAAAGTTTAGGGAAAAGCAATTCGTAAGAAAGTAGCTATTACCCCATGATAGTAATTTACCAGCCCCCAATACAACAAAATGTGCTAGTCTTCTTGGAGTCCTTTGAAACATAATTTAAATGGTTATATGCCGTGCTCATGGAAGGACAAGATAACAAAACCACTGTTGACACATGCATCATTTCTCCAGTATCAGTTTTTCTATTTGGGCATTCAAAGCTGACCAAATTTATGAGGAGCTGAAGGCAGGAACCTGCAGTAGGAGTTGTCAAGCAGCATTATTATCTAGGATGGCATCTTTTCTGCCTGTGACAGGTAGCAGCACCAGTGTGGGAAGATAGGTGCTGATTCTTGGTCCTTCCATGGTTCAGTAACTGAATTGTTGCAAGCATCATCCCTAATTTACAAATGGAAAAGGCATGTCGGGTTACTAGAGCTACTGGGGGATGAAAAGGAGTAACTGATGAAGCAGACACAGTAATATGTTATCAGGGCATAGGGCATCAGAGATGGGACAGGAGATGTCCTTTGTAGTTTCTGTGTGAGGTAGAGAGAAGATAATGAGATGTGGGACCATGCCATTGTGTTGGACGGTGCGATGTCTGTGTTGGTGCTGCTCTCACTTCATAAACAGCACATGTCCTTGTTAGTCACAAAGAGAATGGCATTCTGCTGCTGGGAAGCCTAGTCTTAGGGTATCTGTGTTGGTGAAAGCTTTACCTCACTATGCCTTAAAAACAGTGTTTCTGTTACAGGGCATATATCAGTTTTGCTTCCTCCCCGCCTTTGAAAGCATGTCAGCTTCAGACCTTTTGATGTCTTATTTTGAATACAGGCATTATTCAGGCAGTTTTATCAGGACAAAGTTATGGTGTCAGCTACTGTTGGTGGGGAACCCAGCATAATCCGTGTACTCTGGTACAGGATTTCTTTCACTCAGGGTCTTAACGTTGTTCCAGTTTTGTTTCTGAGGCAGAGGTGCCTGTCAGCTCATTCCTTAGACTTTCCTTTTCACTACAGGAAGAAAATCTGATTAGCACTAGATACAAATCAGAGAAGTGATACACAACAATATTCTTCATGCACCTTGATCCCATTGTTCTTTCCCTGACTGTCAGTCTACATAGTGCTTTCATACCTGTGCAAGGTGTATGAAGATTTCCCTTCTTTTATTCCCAAACTTTACTTGAAGAACTCCCTGCCAAAGATGTTTTTATTAAAATTAAGACTTACCATTTTGCTTGGACATACCTGAATATTAAAAAGACACTTTCGAATTAAATTAATGGTTTTTTTTAATATCAAAATACAGAAGTTTCATTTTATCTTCTTTGAGTATGATGATGTTCAGAACAAACAATAATAAAAAAAAATCCAACTGGACTACAGGCTTAAATTGAAACATGTGTAGTCCAACAGAAATACTGAATAATGATGAGGGTAGTTGGTGTAATATGTCCTGTAGTTCTTAAATATTTAGTGTCATCTCTTAAAGAAACTAATAGTGTGTATACAGAAAAGTGGTTTTTACCTGTACTGTACTGCAGTGATATGGGAGCTAAGCTGTTTAGCAAACTGAATGGCAGTACTAAAATTATGTGTGTCTATATATAAATATATATGCATATAGGCCCACTCACATCATCAACTTGAAAATCTAATAATGGATCACAGATACATGTCTTATTTTCTGGTAGTAGATTAGTTTTGTAAATGAGTAACATTTATTTTAAAAAGAGAATTCAAGGATGACTTAGAGATTCTTTTTAGAGGCATGTTATGATATGATATTTTCTTTGCACTTCACTTACTCTAGAATTGACTGCTTCTGTGTAAATGATGTGATAGCTGACACTGATGCTTGAGTGCAGTATGCATCTTTGAGTGGGGTGGATGTTGTAGCTGATTTTTAAAGCAGCTTCTGAAAACAAATTCTTTGTAAAATTTTGTTGTTCCCCCTCCCTCCCCCCCGCCATTGGGTCCAGTCCTACTGTAGTAGCCCTCTAAGTCTGTTTAAATTTGTGCATTTTCTTGGCCTAGCTAAGTGTTTAGATCATGCTTACCACCAAAGTAACTGCAGACCTCGAAGTCTTGCTCAACAGACATCCAAGTTACTTCATATTAAAAGTAGGGAGGACTATAATATGGTCTCTAACTTGAATCCCTACACAACGGGATTAAATCCAGTGCTTGTTTACACTTGTGTCTTTAATCTAGTTTTATATGTAGCAGCTTTATGAAACAGAAATAACTTGTTACATAAAATGCAGCTCTGAACAGTGTGATTTATCTTTAAATATACTTTTTAAAATAGACTATTGCAGCTGATAAACAGAGTGCATTTGTGTGTAATGTTGATGCACTTCTTACTCTCCTGTAGGTTGTTTTCAGCTGCACTGTATTATTATAGAAATTTTTATCTACCAATGCTATGGAGATTCCTATGGACCTGATTAACTATTTCTTTCTATTCATGGCATTGAGTTTTAAGTGATATGCAGCACTGGGGGGGGGAAAAAACCCAAAAAACCAAAAACCCACAAGGGGTTTTTTTTGTTTGTTTGTTTGTTTGTTTTTTAATCCTTTTAATGGTTTATTGATCTTTGTCTCTGCTCCAAAGTGGTTTTGTGTCTGTAACTTAGTGGATCTGAGCTTATTTGTATACCTGGTTAAATGTGAATGGCGTGTCTTCTTGTCCCTTGTTTCTGTTTTGTTGGTCTGTGGCTAATCCTGCAGTGCTTGTGGTCTTTTGTAAGAAAAGGGCTTTGTATACATGTAACAATGTTTAGCAAATCAATACAATGCTCAAATGGATAGCTTTCTCTTTATGGAATATGAGGAATGTCCTCATATTACCCGAAAAGAAACCAAACGTATGAATGTACTCAAATGCACAGAGGCAGATGGGTTTTGCAAATGTGAGGTCCCAAGGCACAAACCTCAATGCAAATGCAGGTGCACAGACAGTGCTAGAGCCAGTGTGGTGAATCCAGTGCATTTGGGGTGTATTGAACTTGCACTGTGCACATTGTGCAGCCAACTTGTGTGTTGTATGTGCACAGCAGGCTGCCAGATGTTTCAGAAGGGGCCACTAAATGGCTGGAATAATCTTTTTATGTGGACGAAATTCATTGTCAGTGTTGACAATATCTGCAGCCAATTCTCTGTAGGTAAAATTTCATCCCTTCTGTTTCTGTTTATGCTTGTGTTCCTCCTGCCTTGGAAATGGCTTTTAATTCTGAGGTGCTATTTGCTTCATCTCCAGCATGGTGTTTCCCTCAGAGAGGCGTTTTCAGCTGAGCCATGGGTTTGACAAGCAAAGCGGAATGTTTGTTGACATCACTTCAGATTTCTTACCGCTGTGCACAATGGTTAATGGCATGGGAGAATGCAAATTATATACTTCACCTGCTGACTATAACAAGTTTGGAGTTTGCTGTTAGACCCCAGAAAGTAATTGCTGCCACATGTGGTTATACTCGGTTATACCCAGTTAACATCCGTGTTAACTGGGATGAAAGTGAAAGAGGGTTTGAGAAGCTCTAGGTAATGAAGAAAACTGAGTGATCTGGTGCAGAGGTGTTTAGCTGTTAAGAGCTCCTGAATCACATTGGACCTAATAACCAGACGGTTTTATGTATGAGCAGGTTCCTCTGCCTGTGAAACAGCTGGCTTACTAATGGCTGCATTTAATGGAAATTACAGGTGTGCATTTAGGTTCTCACCTATTTTCATCTAAATTGGAAGAATTCTGTTTCCTACCTGGCTCTAAGTTAATAGGTAAGCTATGCAAAGTAAGGTTTTTAATGACTAATTTTGTGAAATGGGTTTTAAGGGGTTTACGCTCCCCACTAGGCATTACTATTATTACTACATTCTGAAAGTAGCAAAATCTTTCTTGAAATTCTGTGTTCTATGGAAATCTGTGAGAAACATCCTTCAGGTAAGAAATGCCATGAAAGAATGTGACACTTGTGTGAACAGCATTTTCAAAGATGTTGCAATGACAATTATGGGTGAGACTTCTTGAAAGAAGGGCAAAAATTTTTCCTGACTGTGATGAATGAGAAGGGACACTTTCCTAGTTCTTTTGGAAAGATGAGAAAATAAGCTAGAGCTAGCTTATTGATCATTTTACATTTTTGTGACGAAATGGTGGCATTTCCAGGTTTGGTATTGTGTGCTGGCATTGTTCTAGAGAAAAATTTTAGGTGAAAAATGAAAGGGAAAAAAAACCTACAGACACCCCACTACAGTCACACTATTGTAGTCAACTGTAGAAGCTGCTTAGGAAATTATATCCTGTTGTCTTCTATATGGGAGCTTAAGAATAGTAAATTATGACAAGTACCGTGAAAGCTATTACCTTGATGCACAGAGAAATATGTTAAGGATATAGTTTCAAGTTCAATCCATGTTTCAGGACTAAGAGCTTAAAACACATCTTCCTAGGCTGGCAATGCTTTGGGCTATGTTTATAAGGTTAGATTTTTTTTAGTTAGTTTTATGTATCTATTTTATTTAAATGTGTTTCTGAACCTTTTTTTTTTTTTTGTCCCCTTGTTCTAATTTGCAGCATTACTTTACTGTTCTTTTTGGCCATGAAGGGCAGAAGCCACTGGAGCTGCGTTGTGATGATGAAGCTGATGGAGATGAATGGGTAGAAGCTATTCACCAAGCTAGGTATGAAACCTAATTTTTAATCCTCAGCTCTATTTCATGGGAAATAAATTGATAATAATTTAAAAATCTAAATTCAATCTCTAGACAGCAATAAATGTTACAGTGCATTAGATGTGTATTGTGATTAATGGGTATGTTATAGAAAAAATCCTCTTATCATTCATGCTTATATCAATGTATATTTAAGACCAGGTTGGACAGGGCTTGGAGCAACGTGGTCTAGTGGAAGGTGCCCCTGCCCATGGCAGGGGGCTGGAACTGAATGAGTTTTAAGGTCCCGTCCAACCCCAAACAAACCATTCTACGATTCTACAATTCTATGATTTTGTCATTCATGAGTGGTTGTGTTCCAGTTGAAATTAGTAAAAGATGATGACTCTTACTGAAAAAAACCCCTAGGACTAGTCCTCTGTTAGAGGCAATGTTAATTGTAAGAATGAAGAAATGATGATATGCCAGGTGAATAAATGAGTGTTTCTTAAAAAACTCGTATATGGAAATAAATGTAAGAAAGAGGAGGTGGTGTGATTTAAGCCCAGCTGGCAGCTAAGCACCACACAGCCACTTGCTGTATGGAATACCCCTTTGGCTAGTTCGGGTCAGGTGTCCTGTCTGTGCTCCCTCGCAGCTTCCTGTGCCCCTCCTCACTGTCAGAGCATGAGGGACTGAACAGTCCTTCATTAGGGCAAGTGCTACTGAGCAACAACTAAACCACTGGTGTGTTATCAGCATTGTTCTCAGAATGAAGCCAAACCACAGCGCTGTGACAGCTACTAGGAAGAAAATTAACTCTATCCCAGCGAACACCAGGCCATGAGGTCAAAATATTATGATGATAAAGTGCAACAAACACAATTTTGACTTCAAAACAGAAGTCCTGACCAGCAGTGCAGGTCTGCATGGAGAATGGGCAAGGTTTACAGTGTAATCTAAATGCAGATCATCTAACTGAGGGTTTGTGAAATGGTTTGCGAAGGCAAATATCTCCGCTGAAATGCACTTTCTCTATCCTCCTCTGATAGACAGCTAATCTACAGTGCCATGGTAACACAGAAGGAACTAGGCAGTTTCTGAGTTGCTTAGGACATGAGCCATGTAAACAGAAGAGATTTTGCTTTATAACTAAAAATGAACACCACCAGCTAGTAGTTTATAATTTAGAATTTGTGAAATGAAGCTAAAACTGCAGGGGCTGTGTCACCCTGGCATCCAGTCTTTGGTTCTGCATTCTCTTCTTAGCATTGGTATCTAACTGAATGCAGTCTTGTCCTTTCTTGGAAAGCTGGGTAGTGGTATTAGGTGAACCACATTTTGCATGGTAGCCTGGTGGGTGACCACTTTATTTCAGATCTTGAGAAGCTATGAGGTTTTGAACTCTCAGCCCATCCAGGAGCATGTCCACCAGTGGGCAGTCCCATATTGCTGCAGGAGGAGGAGAAGAGGGAGATCTTCACTTTGCCTCTGGATATAGGTCCATTTCTTTTGTGAAGTTCAACTGAAAGCAAGTGAAGAAAGAAGCATGACTTTTTGCTTGTGGTAAGGGCAGTCAGGGGAAGCAGGATCCTACAGTTCCCTGTTCTCAGGATAATTTTCTCTTGTCCATTGCCTTGTGAAAAAGGCATGCAAGCAAGTCATAATACTCAGTTAAAACTTTTCTCTGTCTAGTTCAGTCCATGAATGTATCACACATGAATTTTCAAGGCAGAACTTAAGAGGAATTTGAGCTGGAGTTAAACAAAACATAGTTGAAAATACTGAGAACTTAACCTGTGAAGAAGTTAGTTGTGAGGTTCAAGGTCAGGGTGGCTGAATTTCTACTCCACTAGGAAGTTATTACTGAAGGCGTCAGAAGACAACTGGGTCTCTGATGTAAGCAAAATCAGTCTTTTTACCTCCATCTCTTTTGTTATTTAAGTTTTTTCCCTTTGTTCGTGCCTATCTATCTGAAATGACAGTCTGACTAATATCAAAGTAGGGACACTGCTGTGAGGGATAATCTCGTTTGGGGAATTTTCTTCATCTACTTTTCTGCATAGGTCTAAATTTCTTGGGGAGATTTTCAAGGGACTTGAACATGGCTTCTCTTGTTCTAGTTTCTTTTCTAGAAGAAAATATCAGCAAGTGGCAAAACAGTCTGAAATTTAGTTGCTAAACATAAAGTGTTGTATGCTACTGTGGTTACCTCATTGTTCTGATGCTTTTCTACTTAACTGAAAGCTGATTTTGTTTGCTTTACGTTGTGTCTAGCAAATCAACTTGGAGTTGCATAATTAGTTACTTAACCATTGTGTCTTTTATCAAAGATACGGAATCACAGAATCACAGATTTGTTTGGGTTGGAAGAGGCTTTAAAGCTTATCCAGTTCTAACCACCTGCTATGGGCAGGGACACCTTCCACTAGACCAGGTTGCTCCAAGACCTGTCCAACCTGGCCTTATCAATGACTGTCTTAGTATTCCCAGGCTCATTTCATAGCACTCCATCCCCTCCTCTGCTGGAGGCTGGGAGCTCTAAGCAAGAGCAGCACCCAGCAGCAGCAGAACAAATGCAGCAGACTCCTCTATTACACATCCCACCCATCTAAGAGTCACAGCAGGTGCATCTGTGGGACTATCAGCAATGCCCTGGCAAAGGGCAGAGCACTTCTTCCCTCCAAAGTGGAGAGCAACACAAAACTTATTTGACAATCATTACGACCGTCACAATATGGAAGGCAATGAAATACAGCTTTGCAAGCTGAACTGTCACGTCGGCAAATCCACTGGTTGAGAAAGAAACAAACTGGTGCATGTGTGCCTATGACAAGTGGAGACAAGAGCATCCAAGGCCTAGTTACCAGTCAGACTGAGTTTGTGAGGCAGTTACAGAAGAGATCCATAGACTTTGGGGGTCTACATGTGTTCATGTGTGCGGGCTTGGGGACACCTGTCCATCAGTTAATGGGGGATCCACAGTGAATGTGCGTGCATGGTGTGGGTGTGTGAGGGAACTGTAAGTACATGGGTCCTGGGCCACTTACTAGGGTATACTAGGTGTCTTAGACCAATTACTGGGGGATCCACAGTGTGCTGGGAAGAAGGGGATGCATGCATATCTGTGAGTGATGGAGACTGAGTACCAGCAACTAGGGAGGGTTTGTGGACACTGGAGTACATTCAGGACCAGCTCCTGGACCAGCGGACAGGCTGCATGGATACGATATTTTCTGCGGCCACTTATACTGTATATACGTATTGTATCTGTTTTTCCACCAACATACCTTCATTCCCCTCTCTGATCAGTCTGAGGGGAAAACAGGACGAGGCTGCTGGTGTTGTCTGTGCCCAGCTGAGCATGGAATGTTTCTGTCTGTGCCGATCCCCTCATGCAGCTGTGTTTGTATGAACATGTGTGTTCATTTGTATTGGAATTACATGCCCAGGCTCACTTTTGGTTCAACCTAGGTATAAGGAGCAGTGGCAGCCTTACCTCTATCAAGCTACCAGCTCTGGTGACCCCTACCACTTTGTTCTGTGGATCTAGCTAGATGTTATTTGGAAGGCAGATATGAGATTGCTTTGCCCATGTTTTGAGCACTACTAAAATTCTCTCTCCCCATTCCCAGTCAACTGGAAACTACAAAACTGTGGTTTCATTATAGCACCAAGCCTCAGGTAATACAGTTTCTCCAAGAGCAAGATGTTAGTAGTACAGCATTTACTCCAAGCTTCCAGGCATCTCTGAGCTACTATACTAAGCTTGCTACTGCCTGTAAAATACTATGTAAAATACACCCTGTATTAGCAAGTAGAGCATGCCAACAGATCTGAAAGTAAGACTTTTTTTGTTGTTTTTCTTTTTTCAATTACCCGTTGGAAGGCAGTAGTTCCTTATATACTTTGAACACTGACCTAGCTGAAAGAAGCACCCCCACAACATAACACTCATGCTCTTTCACGTTCCACCTATCCATTTCCCTCTCCCTTGTGCAGTGAACACAGGTGTGTTGCATGGACGTGCAATGAGCTGACCCAGAAGAATTGAGATAGATTAATACTAAGCAGGCAAAAAATAAACAAAACATAATTCCCTTTAGTGCACACCAGTTTCCCAATTAAGTTTACACTTGTGCCTGCATCACAGAAAGGTTGGTAAAGGTGCAGGAATGAATAGTTGACTTACGAGAAGGACAGCTGCTTCCTTCAGCAGTAACGTGGGATTATGCAGGACTAAAGTGCACATGAAACTACATCCAGAGGCACATAATTTAAGACTTCCCAATAAGCTAAAGTAGAAATGAGTGAGAAATTTGCTGATCACTGCATCCATATTAAAACAAAAAAGCATAGAAGATTTTGAGTTAAATGCAAAAAAACTCATAAGCCCATAGAAGAATTTGTAGGAGAAGGTGAAAAGTCTACCCCAGTGTATTGAGGGTGAAACAGATCTTTTCATAAAAGGTCAAATTCTGGAACAAAGCCCAAAACAGGACTTCCACATGCAGTCACTGGCAGGTGAATTAGGTTTTGCCAGGAATAAGTCCTCCAGCCTAGAAACATAACTTAGAAGAAGCAAACCTTACTCTGCCACCCTGGACATTACTGAGAACTTGAAACACTGAGAATTCAAATAAAATATAAAGAGATGAAAAGTAGGAATGGATGTGGCACTCACAATAAAATAATATTAAAATATACTGCACTTTCCATTGCAAGCTCACAAGCCAAACAATCTCTCCCAAATGAGGATAGAGCATGCAGAAAGGAACATAAGCAATGTAGCATGTAGCTGCAGCATGCAAAAGCATGTCAGCTCTCACACCGTGTGCATGATACCTGGCAAAATGACAAGCAGTAGCATCCCACCCGCAGTGAAATCTTCCAGGAAACAATGGACAATGCCACAGCAGGAAATCTTTTAAGTACCAGTTTGCATCCAAATAAAATGCCTATTTATCTAGAGTGGGACATGGGGCGCAGTGATATTGTGTTATTTTTTCAACAGTCTGTTCATGACTTGG